AGGTGTCTGCAAAGGGCGTAGTGATATGCAAGGGCTGGGGTTACGGTTACATGGGGAAACAGCCAAAGGGAATGCCGGGTGGGCAATTAACGGGTAAGCAGGCTGGAGGTTTGCCAGGGCCTGCAGGTATGCAAAAAGCGCTGGGGTACATACCTTCAAAGGGCTGGCGATTCTCTGGTTTCTGGAGCATCGTTGTTAATCTTGCCATGATAATAGGCAGCTCCAAATCGGGTGGAAGGGCTGCATCTCCAGGTCAGCTCCAGCCTGGGTAGAATGTGCCTTCTTTAATCAGAGTAAAACAGTCATGATTAACAGAGCATGATTAATATTTCTTAAAATACGAGCTGGTTCCCCAACATTCTATTTCTGCCCCCTTTCAACGTGAGAAATTAAATAGTGTAAAGGGAGAGAGAGCCGCATAGGGTGGACAGGGAGGAGGGAGATCTTTGAGCTGAGGGATGTGGCTCATTAGCCTTGAGGACAAGGAAAAGCAGAACTGCAGAAGTATCGGGGATTAGTGAGCGCTTGAGGGCAGAGGTTGGGAAGAAACTGAAAAGGTCCTGTGACTGCCGTGTGGTGAGAAGGATTTATTGATTGATTTACTTTATTGTCTAAAGTTATATATGTGTCTCCTTTTTCCCCAGTTGACCCCCTCCCCACCATTCCCACCCCAGGCAAGCCCCCACCGCCCCAGTGTCTGTGTCCATTGGTTATGCTAATAATGCATGCAAACAAGTCCTTTGATTGCTCTCTAACCTCCCTTCCCTCCCCTGCCATTTGTCCCTGGATCTATTTTTGTTCATCAAATTATGTTGATCAGTGTATCCCACATATGAGTGAGATCATGTGATATTTCTCTTTCCCCGACTGGCTTATTTCGCTTGACATAATGCTCTCCAGTTCCATCCATGCTGTTGCAAATGGTAAAAGTTCCTTCTTTTTTATAGCAGCATAGTATTCCATTGTGTAGATGTACCACAGTTTTTTAATCCACTCATCTGCTGATGGGCACTTAGGCTATTTCCAAATCTTAGCTATGGTGAATTGTGCTGCTATGAACATAGGGGTGCATATATCCTTTCTGATTGGTGTTTCTGGTTTCTTGGGATATAGTCCTAGAAGTAGGATTATTGGGTCAAATGGGAGTTCCATTTTTAACTTTTTGTGGAAACTCTGTACTGTCTTCCACAGTGGCTGCACCAGTCTGCATTCCCACCAGCAGTGCAGGAGGGTTCCTTTTTCTCCACATCCTCGCCAGCACTTGTCGTTTGTTGATGATAGCCATTCTTACAGGTGTAAGATGGTACCTCATTGTTATGGTGAAAAGGATTTAAAAGAAAACTGAATTTCAGGGTGGCCAGAGTGAAAAGGGGATCAATCATTGCAGTCTACCAGGTGCACAGTCGTGGTGGGAGAAGAGATGGAAAGGTCCAGACCGGTAGAGAATTTTTATGAGTTTATTTGAGCCAAACTGATGACAATTGCTGGGAAGCAAAATCTCAATGGAGTGCTCTGGAGAATGGCAGTCTTACAGCTTCTACATTAAATCAGAGGAAGAGGTCTAAGGAGAGTGACATGAAATTCATTGGTGGTAGATTAAGGGTGGGGGAAAAGCAAACTGGGGAAATCTCTGGGATTGGGTAAAAGTAAAACAAACATTTCTCTTACATTTGGGGGTACCGGGCAGTTAATAATTAACATTTGAAAGGTAGTTAATAATTAACATAGAGATGGTATTGGGAGCAATATAACAATGTGGGCTTCTGCAATAGGTTGTGCCCTAAGGGGTCTGGAGAAGTTTCAAAGCTGTGTTATCTTAGATCCAAAAAGACAGTAGACAGGCTCACTTAAGTTAAAGATTGACCTACGACAAGGAACTCACTGGTCTCTAGGACAGGACTACCCACTATGGCCCACTTCTAGTTAGGCATTTTTATGTTCAGACCCTCCTATGTGGTTGCTTCCAGTCTCGATGAGTTTGTGGGGCCTACCATGCTGGCCCCCCACCCCACTCCCGGAACTTGTCAGGTTTAGTATATCCTGTTTTTCATCCACAGAGATAAGTTTTGGAGGCAGAATTGTATAGTAGATTAGGAGTCAGACTATCTGCCTTGGAATTCTTGGTTTCCCAGTTAGGGGCTCAGTTTACTCACCAGTAAAAAGGGAATGCTAATACTTTTTCTATATAGTTGTTGTAAGGGTTAAGTAAAATAGATGACCTATGGATACTGTCCAGCACGTAGTAAAAGGCTCTACAAGGATAGCTGTAGAGGATCTTGAGTAGATGAATCCCAGTTGGTTGATGACATGAGTAACTTGGTGGATGGTGGTGCCATGTAGGGAGATGGGAACACTGGAATTGGGGCACGGAGAGGGACGAGTTTGGGAAGGAAATTTAAAATTCTGTTTTGACTGAGATGCCAAGTTAGAATTCAAATGAGTATGTTAGTGCTGCAGTTAGATGAACTTGATTTTGTACCTTAGGAGTAAATTTTCTGTGTGTTTTTGGGCACATTAGCATGTTTTTGATATTGAACATTATGGAGTTAGATGAGACTACATATCTAGGGAGGAAGAAAATTGATGGCATAGTTTTTCCTATTTTATGTTACTCATTGAAGTAACATAAAATAGGAAGGCTTATTTTTTTAAATTAATTATTCAGGGGTGGAATTTGTAACTTCAGCTTTAATATTAATAGGATGTCTCCAGGGTTAGTCTGCAGCAACAGAGTGAACAGGTTTATACAAACAGGGTCCAGTTTGATGACAATTAGATACAGTTATTAACAA